GAATCTTTCCAATGCAGGAAAGATTAAAGAAATACAGAGTGCAGAGGGGTAGACTCAGCCCCCTGGGGGCTCCTCTCCCTCCACGTGCTGCCCTTACACCCCTCAAATGACCACAGGGACACACGAGGCCGGTTGTTTCCCTTTATTGCACACCACCATACGTGATCTGCTCTGCGCATCCTCAGTTCTCACCGATTTTCTGCCAAAGACAAAAGGATGAGACCGTGGTCAGGCCTTCACGTGGAGAAGGGCGGAGAGAACACGCACCAAGAGCTCTGCTCTCACCTCGTTGATCCAGTCGATGTAGGCGGACACCCTTGTGAAGACTGTTGGTTTCTTGGCGACGTTGCAGCCCCAGGCAGAGCCGAAGCTGACGATGCCGTGCACCTCCCACACGTCGTTCCGTTGGCAGTTCAGAGGGCCACCCGAATCCCCCTACCCAGGCAGGGCGCCGTGTTACACTCATACACCCCACAGCTCCCCATCTCCATTCTTCCAACCTCACCGCAGCCATTGGGGATGGCCGGCAGTCCCCTCACTCACGTTGCATGCCCCGACCTGGCCGTCACCACCAGCACACACCATGCAAGGTGTCACCAGGTCGCCCCACCAGTCTCTCTGTGAGCACGTTGCGTAGTCCACCACGGGCAGCACGGCCTGCTGCAAGACCTCCGCCAGCGGCCCGTTAGCTGCAATGACAGCCTCAAGTTGCAACCATGTCCAATGCTGCCCCATTCAGTTCCCTCTGTGTCACCCCTCTTACTCCAGAGGGTTCCCCAGCCAGTGACCACGCACGGGTAGCCGTTCTCCAGCTCCAGCCCGCTCGGTGGCAGGCTGACAGCCTGGATGGTGTCACTCTCTTCCACTGGCTCTGACAACTTGATCAATGCAATGTCATTGCTGCAATGACAAAACCCCGTTGCTGCAATGACAAAACCCCATATAACACAGCCAACCAAACCCTGTAGAGAGCCACCAACCAAACCTTGTAGAGGATCGCCAACCAAACCCCATAGAAAACCATCAACCAAACTGAATAGAATGCCTCCAACCAAACCCTGTAGAGAACCACCGTTCAAACCCTGTAGAGCACCACCAACCAAACCCCTTAGAGTGCCTCCAACCAGACCCTGCCCATCCCACAACAGTCCACTGCCAGACCCATCCTCACACCCAGCCTTGGGTTGGCACACCCCTCCCTCCCCCCTTTGCTGCCCTACGTGATAAGGATGGAGTCATAATCCTCGTGCACAATGAAGTCCTCCACCTCAGCCACCACCTCGCCGTCTTCTTCCTCTGACAGGTTGTGCTTTCCCAGCACCACGCGGTACGTCAGGCTCGAGCTGCCGATGGCCATCAGCATGAGGGCAGACGTGGGGGTTTCTGTCCCCCATGGATGCCCCCCAACCCTACCTGTAACAGTGTGCAGCTGTCAGCACCCAGCAGGGAGAAATGAGGATTCCTCCACAGGTGTGGCTCCAGCCACCATAGTATTTGTACTGCAGTGAGACCTGGACGGCGGCACGGAGTCAGGACAGGTGGTGGCCACCCATCCCCGTGTGACCAACAGTGGAGATGGAGCCCAGGTGGCACACAGTCCCCCTTACCTGCCACGGCCAGCTGTGAGGAGTGGCTTCCTCACCGCCCACCACACGATAGCCTAACACCGGTTGCACTGCCGGCTGCCCGCATCCATAGGCTTTGTGACACCAAGCATGGGGACATCAGCATGGGCACGGCCACCAGCCCCACAGACTCCCCCCTCCTCATGCCCTCACCCACCGTAGCCCAGCAGGACGGCGAGACACACAGCCCCCAGCATGGTTGTAGGCTTCCAGTGTGGCAGAAGCAAGGAGCCCACCGTCTTGTATATGTTTGCTGAGCCACCTCCAGCCGTTGGGAACGTGGCCTTCAGCCTGCTAACAGGTGGCCAAATCCCACAGCCTGTGTGCCCACCTTGTGCTATGTCTTATCGGGACCCACCTGGGAATGGATACACCTGTCCCATGTACAACCCCACAGATGTGGCCCTGACCGTGACCCCAGCCACGCGGGGAAGTGGGGGTCCCACACTGACACCCAACCCTGGGCATGGATAAGCACAACACTTAGGGAATAGAATATTTATTTGGGATTTAAAAAGAAAAAGAAAAAAAAGAAAGAAAACAACACGGCAAAGAACACATCCATAGGACAGAATGGAAGCAGCTGTTGAGACAACACCTTTGTGGGACATCACAGCATCGGCACAACCACTGCTGCAGGGACAGCAGGTTAGACGCCGTCCCTTGGGGTGCTTAGAAGACAGACAGACAAAAAATAAAGCTTCTCTCCCCTCGGTGGCCTTTATGGGTGTCTATTTTTTCTTCTGCTTTTCACATGCAGCCTTTGTACTACTGTGCTGAAAACGGGCTTCACTGTGTCTTTGCTACTCCTGTTTTGCCCTTTATCTGTTGATGCAGCTCATACAGCTGTCATGAGAAACCTCACTGAAGTTGGATAAGAGAAAAACAGAGATGGTTTTGTTCTGCCCTTGCAGTGGTGTAGCTGCAAGCTGTGGTCCTTAAGGGGAACCAGAGCAGTTGAATTCTAATGTGCAATTGGAAGGGGCAGAAGGAGAGAGATGATTTTGCCATGCCATGACAGGTGTGAGCACTGCGGAACGCTTCTCCATCTCAGTCCAAGGTGAGAGTCAGCGATTTGGGATGTCTCCAGCAGCAGCCCATGGTAAGGATTGTCCTGGAGCCCTGAGGGAGCTCTGACAGCTTGTAGAGCTTGTTGGTCACTTCCTTGCTTGAGACACACCGTGCTGGGTGTCTGTGTGAATTGCAGAGCAGCTGAGATGAGTGCTGGGTGGGAGGTGACCCCAACTAAATGGTGTATGGTGCCCCAGGTGGGGGATGAGCATGTGCTTGAGGTCCAGGCTCTAACTGCTGCCACTCTTCCTCTTTGTGGTTTGAGAGATGAGAGCCAAACGCTGCTTGTGGTGTGTGGTGGGGTGGGAAGGGGTGTCTGTCACCCCTGTGTGACAGATGACAGGAGAAAGTTGGTGTTAATTCTTTGAAGAACAGGTTTAACATCTCACTGTTGAGCGCTAAGAGCTAAATCCCATTTCTCTGTTTTGTGTTGTAGGTTCATCTGTTGACAGGGGTGACCACAGACTGGTTAGCATTGTAGATATTTCTTCTTTTCCAGTGTATTTGTGGTTGTGTTGGGGTTCTTTCTGCCAGTCATCTCAGAGATTCTGTTTGCAAGGAGCTTGTGCTTTAAGAATTGAAAAGGCCGAGCAAGGCTGAAGATATTTAAGTGTTCACCCTCACGATGCAAGGCACAGAATGTCCAAAAATAGATCTTAGCGTGGCTTAAACTTCTACCTGGACTAAAGAAGTCCCTCAGAGCTCCTGAGCTGCTGCTGCATGTGAAAGCAGTGCTGTGACAGCCAGTCCTTGGTGCTGGGACGTGAGGAATCGTGCTGAGGCTGACAAGGCTGTAACCAGGGCAATGTGCTCAGGGTGGGTCAATCATTAGCCAGCTCCACCTTGGGATCACACGAACTGTGCTGCAAACAACGTGATATGGAGCTAAATGTGGTGCTGACAGAGTTTCCAGCAAGACAGCTAGTGATTTCCTCAGGCACCAAGTCATTTGTAAAGCAGTGTTTTGACTTTGTAATCACTGTGTTGGGAAACAGAAGCAGAGAAAACAACAGTCAACATTTGTGGCAGCTTTAGGAGGCTGACAGTGAAGCAGGCACTGAGAAATGTGTGTGCTGCCTTCTGACAGCACAACTCACCCCTGAGGCAGGGCAGGGAGTTTGGCTGTGTTCACATGGCTGGAGTTTGGAGGGGCCTCCCGAAATTAATGTGTTGGAGTTGATGCTGAATCTGACTACACAGGAGATGGATCTGCCTGTTTTCTTGGCTCCTAGAGCACACTCCCTGGGATCTCATGGTGAGGTTTGATGAATGTGCCTGAACAACCTGAAAACCTAACCTTGTGGCTAAAGTCGTGGCCATTTTCCTGTGAATTAGGCAATTCTTTTTTCCTCTGGTTGCACATTTGAATAATGTGAGCATGCAGAACAGACACTATTATCTGTCCCTACGCTTAGAGATGCAAAAGAACTGAGAAAGGAGCTGCTTTTAAGACTCCTCTTCCACTTTTACATCGTGTTCCACTGGACTAGCTGGCAAATGCTCTGAATTAGGGGGTGTTTAATTGTGACTGACAAGTTCTCTTGTGCATGCCAGGTGTACCAGCTGCGAGCAGACCCTTGTGGGCACTGCCTGATCTTCAACAACGTCAACTTCAGCACAGACTCCGATCTGTCAGCTCGGGCTGGCTCTGACATAGACTGTGAGAAGCTGGAGAAGCGTTTCAAGTCCTTGTGCTTCCACGTCCGGACCCTGAGGAACCTCAAAGCTCAGGTGAGGGTGGCAGAATGAAGACCTGGTTACTCTTCAGGCTCAATTGTGATTCCTGCATGCGATGCATAGGGATGTGTGTGAGTCTTACTTTGTACCAATGGGTTTTGTGGTCTGTATGTGGAGGCTCTGTTATCACACTTTTACTGGACAGAAAGCAGCAGAGATGCAGCTGGGTCTGATAGGGCAGGGCTTGCCAGTCATCTGTGGCCAGTTTAAAGCATGATGTTTTTTATGTAGGAAATTGATCTGGAGCTGCGGAAGCTGGCACAGCTCGACCACAGCACCCTGGACTGCTGCCTTGTTGTCATCCTCTCCCACGGCTGCCAGGTGGGTTTGTGCTCCTCTGACATCATGGGGAGTTCTGATCCTGTGTCTGGGTGAAAGCAGACACGAGGTTCCCTGCTGCAGTGCCTTTGCAGAGGTTGGCGGCATTAGGTCAGAAGTTGTTAGCTTCTGAGTGTGGGATCTGTACATCAGAACCGAGTGGGGGGCAAAGAGCAGAAGGAGGTGGTGCTGACCTTCATACTGTAGTCCTCGAGTGCTTCCTGATCCTCTGGTTCTGCCTGGGGAGTCATTAGTCAGGAATTAAGACTAATCATCACAAGGTGTAGACCTTGGAGTTAGAGAAGAGATAAACTGTTCCTAAAAGGGTTGTGTGTTGTGTGCCCCTTGTCCTGGAGGATAAAGAATCCCCTTGCTGGAGGAGGTGGAATAAGAGTTGGGTTATATTGAGGGGTTGGATTTCTGGGTATTGTCTGCTGGAATCCCTTTGCCCTGCTGCAGTATGCGTATTTCCACAGATATGAGGAAGTGAGATTTGTTCTCACTTTATGCTTATATGGAAACTTTATGCTAGACAGTGATGGGGGAGGGAGAACACTTGGACAGAGACGGGTTCCCTCTGAGCTTGCCTTTCCTTCTGTGTTAACAGCTCTTGGATTTTCCTCTTCCAGACAAGCCATATTCAATTTCCCGGAGGGATTTATGGAACAGATGGCAAAACCCTTCCAATTGAAAAGATTGTGAACTATTTCAATGGGTCCCAGTGCCCAAGTTTGAGAGGAAAACCCAAACTCTTCTTCATCCAGGCGTGTGGAGGAGGTGTGTTGGCAATAAGCTGTTAAGTGTGAGCAGGCTGGTGAGACACAGTTGGGCTTTGTCGTCGTCTTCCTTTCATGTCTGTTGCCCTTTTATCCAGGTGTTTCCTAGCATTCCCACCCATGTATTTCTACTGCTAAGATGGGTTGAATGTCAGGAGCATGTTGCAGGAGGGCAGCACTGGTGGTTTTGTTGTGCAGCGGGGTGTTTTCACTGTGCAGAGTGGGGGCTGTGAGATGGCAGGAGGGCAGTAGTGGCATCCCTTGCCCCACATCCAGGCGCATTCCTCCTGTTCTCTGTGTTTAGCAGCAAGGGTAGAACTGTAGAATGGCTTGGGTTGGAAGGAGCGTTGGGAGGTTGGTTGGAAGGGCTTGGTTAGTGGGTAGCCTGATGGCTGTGACTCTCGCAGCACTGTCAGAGAGCAGAAAAGCATGGTTTTGTTGGAGGATTTTTTCCGCTGCAGTTGTTAATAGAGGATGTATGGGTGCAGAGCGTGTCAGATGTGAGCGAGAGCTGTTGTTGCTGCCATTTTTTGCAGAAGAAAAGGACCATGGATTTGAGGTGGGCTGTGAATCACCCCAAGATGAAACTTGCCGAGGTTGCGTAGAGTCGGATGCGATTCCTTTCCAGGCTCCATCGGGGAGTTTGGACGAGCCGGACGCCGTTGCCAGTTTGCCCACTCCTGGTGACATCTTGGTGTCCTACTCAACCTTTCCAGGTGAGCTGCTTTTCCTGGGCAGCCTGGTCTGGTATTAAGTGGGGGAGGTTGGTGGCCCTACCTGTGGCAGGGGGTTGGAGATTCCTGATCCTTGAGGTCCCTTCCAACCCTGGGCATTCTGTGATTCTGTGAGATAAGTGCAAATGATTTGCAGAAGCAGTCGGTGCTGAGGGCGCTTGGCCAGTAGTCGAGACATCCTAATTCTGCCACTGGCTTTTGGAGAAAGCCACCAGCAAGCTGCTGTGCCACAGCATAGTGTCCCCAATAGTCAGTGTTTGCTACTGAAGTTATGGGCAGCCACCCGTTGGAGGTGGTACGCAGGGAGATGAAGAGACAGCAAGACTGACTGCAAGAGTGTTTTTTCTCCTTTCTCTGCAGGTTTTGTGTCCTGGAGGGACAAGGTGAGTGGCTCGTGGTATGTGGAAACCCTGGACAGTGTGCTGGAACATTATGCCCGTTCTGAAGACCTGCTAACCATGCTGCTCCGGGTAAATGTGTTTTTTCTTAGCCTTATTTGTGTAGTGTTACAGCAGTGAGGGCAATAATCAGAGGTGCCATGTGTCAGGGTAGGCAGGCAGGCTGTAAAGGGTGGTGATACTGAGCGTGCAGTGCACCTTGTGTTCCCAGGTGTCAGACATCGTGTCCACCAAGGGGAAGTACAAGCAGATCCCAGGCTGTTTCAACTTTCTACGTAAGAGATTCTTCTTCCTGTGCAAATGATGTGGGGTTGTCGATGTCCCAGTCAACGTGAGGGACAGCTTCCCTGTGGCTGGATGAAAGCTGTCCCTGCTGTGACTTGAACCAGGTGCTCCTGGTGACTGCTGTCTGGCTTTGGAGGGGTCTCTGCTGAGAAACGCAATCTGTGAGTGCTGTGGTTGGGGTGATCACCCCCAAGATGAGGAGTGGCCCTGTCCCAACCTGCAGGGACAATCTGTTGTAGGGAAGATGCCGTAGCAGGGGTGTTGGGCTTGATGCTCTCCAAAGGTACCTTGCAACCCCTGTGATTCTATGCCAGTGGTGGGAAGGGGGAAGGGATGTGTGTTGGAATCCCCAGAGTGTGCCAGCCCAGTGATCGCACTGTGGAGTGAGGGCCTCCAGCTGTGCTGTGGCTGTGCTCTCCTTCCTGGTGCGACTGCAGTGGATTGGAGGAGTGAATGGAACCAATGGCTGGAGTCAATGGAAATACATGATTTTTGCAACAAGGGATTTTTCGGTTTGAGCGAAACAAAAGCCAAGAGGAAAAAAAACAAACACAGAAACTTTTGCTTTGTACTCTGTCTTCTGTTCTCTCTTGTGTCCTAGAGCGTTAGCTCTAGAAAGCTCAGTTGCGTTGTCGTCATGACCTTGATGCACACAGTCCCCAGTACCTAGGAGTACAGATTACACCCCAAAACCATCTTTGGGCAATCAAACCAGAAAGTGTTTTAATGTTTAGTGGCTGTAGATGTGTCCCTGAGGAATGGGGTTGAGGAAGGGGGGAGGGGTTGGGGTTGGACGTGGTGATCTTGATGTAAAACTAGGAAGAGCATCCCAGGTTTTACAATCTATACAGCTATTGTGCACTTTGGCTGCCCGCTGTTTCCCCTTGGAAGGTGTTATTTGTGAGTTAGTCAGTAAACGATGTTTATGCAACTGCTGTTTTTCTAATAGTCAGAGTAGTAAATGTTTCTGTCAGTCTTGTCAACAGCACAAATGCCTGTCCTTCCCCCTAATTGCACCCCACATCGCTGGCAGACTGTAAATTAAGGAATCTTTCCAATGCAGGAAAGATTAAAGAAATACAGAGTGCAGAGGGGTAGACTCAGCCCCCTGGGGGCTCCTCTCCCTCCACGTGCTGCCCTTACACCCCTCAAATGACCACAGGGACACACGAGGCCGGTTGTTTCCCTTTATTGCACACCACCATACGTGATCTGCTCTGCGCATCCTCAGTTCTCACCGATTTTCTGCCAAAGACAAAAGGATGAGACCGTGGTCAGGCCTTCACGTGGAGAAGGGCGGAGAGAACACGCACCAAGAGCTCTGCTCTCACCTCGTTGATCCAGTCGATGTAGGCGGACACCCTTGTGAAGACTGTTGGTTTCTTGGCGACGTTGCAGCCCCAGGCAGAGCCGAAGCTGACGATGCCGTGCACCTCCCACACGTCGTTCCGTTGGCAGTTCAGAGGGCCACCCGAATCCCCCTACCCAGGCAGGGCGCCGTGTTACACTCATACACCCCACAGCTCCCCATCTCCATTCTTCCAACCTCACCGCAGCCATTGGGGATGGCCGGCAG